TGGACAGATAGAGCTGGGTGTCATCTGCATAGCAGTGAAAATGTATGCTATGTCTTCTAATGATGCTGCCTAAGGGAAGCATGTATAATGTAAACAGAATGTATGGTCGACAGTATCGAATGCTGCACTGAGGTCTAGCAGGACAAGCACAGAGATGAGTCCACTGTTAGAGGCGCTGATCGTTTGGAGAAAGTAATTATTGAAGTGAGCTAAGAAAGTTGGAGAGTCTAAATAAATATCAGCAGCACTGAAATGAGTCACTTTTTTCTCTAATGGTTAACATTTTATTTGTGACAAAATTCATGAAGTTATTGCTGGTTAAGGTTAAAGGAATGTTTGGCTCAACGGAGCTCTGACTTTTTGTCAGCCTGGTTATTGTGCTGAAAAAAAAACTATACTGGATTAGTTACTTTTACTTTTACTCCCTACATTTTTAATCAAACATCTGTACTTTCTACTCCTTATATTTTCAATGCTCCTAACTTTTTGTTTGAAGCATTTCAGTTGTTATTTGACGTCACATTGGTCCTTCATCAACATCAAACCAATCTGAACCTGTAACTCATGAAAAGCAATCCTTTTTGTGTATTAATGACCGGCAGATGTCACATAAAAAGAGGTAAAAAACAAAATAAACAAACAGGCAAAACTATCAGGGGTTAAAGTGGATGATTTTTTGGTTTGTTTGTTTGTTTGTTTGTTAGCTCTCAGTAGAAATAACCGTGACTTGTGATTATTTTCCCCATGATGAGTTTTTAAAAACAGATGTTCCTCCTTTTTCTCTGCTCATGTTCTACTTAGTTGACTCAAGCCGAGCGCATTTACTAGAATTAAAATTTAGACTAAAATAAAGTTTGTATTCCCATCTACAAATTTTATTATTACACAAGGTTCACTTTGCACAGCTGGTAGAGATATCCTCAAAAGAGCTACATTTTCACTTTTACTTGAGTAAAGAAGTTGAATCAGTACTTCAACTTTTACTAGAGTATTTGTCAACACTAGTATGTGTAGTTCTATTTAAGTCTGTACTTTTGCTTCCTCTGCTGAGGAGCCACAGTATCCAGACTCATACGCAGTGAAGATGTAAAACCATTAACAAGATAATGATATACACAAGATGATGCATGCAATTGAAGAAAAGAAAAGTGGAGGAATTAAAAGTAAGCACTTTCTGAAAGGTGTCTACCGTTATGAAATGAATTCCTCACTGCTGTATAATCCATAGTTGTAAATGTGAATGGTATTAGGAAATGACCGGGCAAAAGAGGATCTTTGGAGAATATTGTTAGATGTTCAGGTTTTATGCCTTTTGTCAGAATAGGTCTAGAGTGTGAATAACGTGGTGGATGGTTTCTTTTACACATTTAAAAAATTCAGTTGAGTCTAATATTGGAAATAGATATAAAATGTATTTAATCCCACACTGAGGGAAATGAAATTGTTACAGCAGCACAAGGGACAGGACGGAAAGGTGAATCAGAGATATATTAGAAAATCAATTAATTAACTGCTTAATAAATAAACAGGAAAAATAGTGCTACACTATGTACAGATGGATAGTTCATTGAAATAAACAAAGATTATTCTTTTGTATATTTACATAAATAGTGAGAGGGATAACAGTATACATGTATTTTTAAACAGTATTTATCCTGTGTGGGTACAAATGAAATGCCATGTTGAGGGTGTCATTTTCCATATCTACATGGATGTTAAAATCACCCACAGTAATTATTTTTATCTGAGCTGAGCACTAAATTAGATAAAAAGTCAGAGAAATCAGAGTAAGGTCCAGGTGGATGATAGATAACAGCAGCAAAAAAAACAGGCTTTTGAGTTTTCAGGTTTGGTTGAAAAATGCTAAACATCAGGCTTTCAAAACTCTGTCTGGGTCTTTGGTGTGGAAGATTGCTGCCACACCCCCTCCTCGGCCTGTGCTTCGAGGATTCAGACAGTTAGTGTGACTCAGGTGTTTATTCATTATCACTTACATAATCATCCTGATGTAAACAGGTTTCTGTAAGGTAGAATAATCAGCATGTTGATCAATTATTAATTCATGTACTAACAGGGACTTAGAAGACAGAGAGACTTGCACTGTTTTACTCGTTAGTGCAGTATGTTGTTATATTGTTTTTCCTTTCATTTTCTGTGGATTTTTGTTTTTTGGTGGTCTGGGACCAGACACAGTCTCTAAGGGGATGGGGATTTGGGGGACAACAGGAGGAGAGAAACTGCAAAGAAATTTGTAAGACTGCAACCCTGCTTCCTGCTCCAGAAGGTTACAGAAATAAGAGCTGCTCCATCCAAAGTGGATGGATGCCATCTCTCCTAACAAGACCAGGTGCTCCCCTGAAAATTTCCATAGCAGGCGATAGCTTCAGTGTTGCCTGCTCTGGCCCATGCAAGACAATGCACTACGGTTGCTGGTGTCTCTGTCTTCACGTCTCAAAACAGAATTGGTAATATCCAGTTTTTTCCAGAGCAGAGTAGCTGGTGTGGAGTGGTTGGTCGTGCACTCACAGAAGATTGTCGTGGGGGCTCTTGTCAGGCCTGCATTGGCTAACCCACAGTGTTACTTGTGTGGGTTTTTTCACATAGTTGGGCCCCAATGGGGAAAGTTGCTGTGGACCCTGGACGAGCACATTCTCTTGGGGCTACATAGGATAAGTGTAGGTTTGCCCAGCCTCTACTGCTGGCCCGCACAGACATGTATGTTGGAAGTAAGACTGCAGTTCTCTATTGAGCTGCTCATGATTATACTCATGCTTCAACCAAATTGGACTGGCACAAATATGGTCCAAGCGAGCACAGTACATCTTGCATTCTGGGAGCAGCCCGAGAATGATCTTTACCGTCCTGGTTGAGCAGTTTATTGAATCTAGCACTCTTTTCAAGACTGAGAACACTGATGAATACACAAAGGCAGTCAGTCAGGCACTCAGCAAACAGACAGTAGGGAAAAGCCTATGCTGATAATCACTGTCGTGATGTAACAACTGCAAGCTCACCATCAGAAGTGTTCAGCTTTACTTTGGTCACCAAAGTCACACATGTTGCCGACCAAAGTGTCCAGGTTCGATGAGATGACGACTTTGCTGTTGCTGTCTCTTTGTGTCCAAAATGAAACATTTTTTTTAATAAAAATATTTTTCTTTATTTCTTTATGTGTAGTAAAATAGTAATTGACATGGACATTTACATCCAGCAAACACATATTTATTACAGCGGTTACAATGAGTTACATCTAGAAAGAGCGTTGGTAACACTCATTGCATACATGACGCAAACAGTTAGTAGTAGGTACACTGACGTTTTTGTTTCATTCATCTTTAAGATTTTTTTATACTTTTTTCATTGATGCATAAATGTCTTTAAAAAAAGTTATTTTCCAGATGCAAGTATACATAAACGTGCAGACATTGTACCCTCTACTGTGTCTCAGCCCCTTTCTTTATTAATAAGCCAAAAAGAAAAGCATAAAAAAAGCAACAAATCATTAAAAATGACAAAAGTTCAGTTCATTCTTTTTGTTACTCGTAGCTCATGGTTACTTTTTTCTATGACACTTTCAATGCCAAGATGCCGTGCTGATACCTTGATGATGACAAAGATGAACACCAACACGCCAAAGTGGAAAACCTCTTTTCGATTGGAAAAATAGAAAAAGTAGCAAAAGAAAGTTTTTATTGATGAATTATTGTTAGTATCCATGTGAAACTCAGGCTGTACAAAGTTTCTTTTTGTGTCATTGTCATTGAAAAATGTTTGAAAAAGTGAAGCAAACATAAACATGAGGAAACTGTTAATTAAGATGGTGAGAACATTTGCATTATGCACTTTAGTCTGACTGACCACACAAAGCGCTTCACACCAAACCTTACCATTTTACTCTGTTCTTGCATTGCTTTATTCCCCACACTTACACATTTGATCTGCATTTGACCTGCCTTGCATTCGTACTTTGGCAAATTTAGAACCAGTACATGTATCATGTATGTTTTTCATTGTGGGATTCTCACTAATTAGGAGATTTGAAACTAGAGCCTTCTTGATATGAGGTGAAGGGATGTTACTAAACACTGAACCACCATTACAGGAGAGTTTTCCTATAATCAACATTTGGATAATGGGAAAAATAAGCCGAATTAAAACTGAATTTAAAAATGACAAATTAAAAAAAGAACGAATAAAATAAAAGTTTAAAAAAATGTGTGAAACTGGGATTTCAGAGCACTTAGTGCCAACAACACTTCTTGTAAAATAGAAACTTGTAACATTTACTAAAAAACTACAAAGGCCATCTTGCTTAGAAAAGTAATGTATTAAATGCAAACTGCTGCTTCTAAGGAATCTGTGGAGAGTGACTGAAAATGTAGAATTATTCTTTTGCTTTTAAATATCTCCATGAAAAGATCAGTATGGCTCCACCATTACATCCTCCTCCAATAGCAGGACGTGTAAAACACTGGACTGTTTTCTAGCCAGGGTTTGGCTGAATTTGTTATCACCGTAGCAACAAGGTTGTTGAAGTTATGCAAAAGAATGAGTCATCCAAGCTATTATATTGGTGGTAGTCTGGCTTTTTGATGCATTATGTTTTATTATAAAGAGCTTTGGTGGATATGTGTGAGTATACATTCACAGAAACGTGCTTTCCATTAAAAATTTATCCTTTTATATGAACAATAAAAAATTGATACATTTACATAAACATGTGGTCATTTAAAAGATAATTATAGGGAGTGGCTTTTGATTTCTAAGAGGTGATAGTGAAAGAATGTATGGACACCCTGCCTTTGGGGGCTATTTCCTTCCACTGAGGGGGGACTTCTGGTATCTTTTGGCCAGGCATAATTTTGAGGAAACTATTTTAATTTGATAATTTTCAAATTTTAATGCCAAAACTATCATTCCTGACAGTAGAGCCAACATTGGAATAAATGTTTTCAGATTCATCTGACTGATTCTGAAAAAGGCCTTCGGTACAGATAACAGCATATTTAAACATCCTCCTTTGTTGGCATTTTAAAATGTCCATATAGAGAATGTTGTCAAGAAAAGTTAAAGGATAGCAAAGGAAACGAGTGCAGTTGTACATCTTTCATCCGTTTTATCCAGACCACCTCTGGGGAAAAGTCTTCTGTGGCGTCCTTGTCTCAATCATAACCAATCAAAATGACTACAGGAAACTTATTACATATGAAAAACCACCTAAATACTTTAACATAAATAAATACACTCTTTTCTGCTTGTGGCTCTTCTTCTTCTCATCCTTCTTCTCATGTCTGTACTCAGTCCATCATGTATGGCTTCTTCATGGATATCTGCTGTATGTATTTCTCCAGATCATCATAGTTACTGTCCGGCTGCTTTCCAGCCACATAATAATCTGCAGGCGCTGGGGCTGAGTAATACAGCTGCTTCTGCTGAGAATGGATTCTGGGAAGTGGATGTAGTTTGGGGTTGGACGCTGGCTGAAATGTCCAAGGGTACAAAGAGAGAGGGTATCTGGTGTAGTAAGACTTCTGCTGTTGGCCTGTAGGGGGTTTTCTCAGCTTAGGTTGGACCCAGCTGTTGTATCGCCTTTTGGGAGAAAAAGCATAAACATCATCCACTGAATGAGTGAGGAAGTTGTTGAGAGTGAGAGCGGGCTTAAGGATCAAGTAATAGGGTTTAAGTCTGGGTGCAGGAGGAACATAGATGGGGTAGCCTTTGTAGGGCTTCTTCTGGTAGTAGGAAGGATAAGTGTGGGGGAAAAGGGGATAGTGAGGATATCTAGTCCAAGCAGCTTTAGGTGACGTGAGCCAGAGGTCCTGTTTGATCGGCACAGGAGGCTGGGCCCAGATATTTTGATTGCCAAGCTGAGGTTTTGCAGGTTTGTTCCAGAGATCCTCTGATCTTGATGGATTTTTCTTCTGCAACCAGGTTTTGAGGAAATGAGCTGCTGGAAATGGTTGGTTAGAGGCGGGAATGTCATTTTGATTGCTTGAAATCTGTGATTCCGATGAAAATGGTGAAGATATGGGGGATAAAGGTCGTCGCCAACCTGATATCACGTCAGGCGACAAGTCTTTCTTCTTCTTCTTCTCCACGTCACTGATGATGTCCACCACATCATCAGCAGGGAGGTGGAGCTTGCTGGAGATCTCTATAAGCTTGTCAATGGTCTGAGGATCAATATCGTCTTCCTCTGTGACTTCCTGTTCTTCGTCAGACCTTTTATCCTCTGCAGCGCTGGAGAGAGAAGAGCTGTACTGCTTGTTCCCGTTATTCTGTTTGACCATGTACCGCAGCAGCATGTCTGAGGCAATATCAGCTAGCATCTCCTCCTCCATCTTGGCTCTTTGTGCCTCAGCTGCCTGTCTCCTCATCTCCTCCTGCTCACCTTTGGCCTGAGCCTCCTCTTCCTCTGGACTCAACACCTCCTCATCTTCTTCCTCCTCCTCGTCTGGATCATCATCTTCCATCGTCTGTTCTCTTGGAGCCTGGAGGTCTGCTGAGTTATGATTGCTGTCATCAAATTCATCCATAAAATTATCTTCTCTGAATTTTGGGAAGCTGAGAGCTTTCTGCGTCTCTTCTTGCCATTTAAGCTTTTTCTTAGTGATAGCAAGGTCACTGCCTTTATTTATGGGCATGATGTCGTTGTAGCTGTAGTCTCTGCTTTCTCTGTGACTTTGCTCAGAGTCTCCTTCCCTCTTAATGGGCACATTCAAAGCAGGGAATTCCTTCATCATCATCTCAAGACTTTTTAGCTCCTCAGGGCTGAGCTGTTCCTCCTCCTCACTACTGGCTTGATCAGGGCTGGTTGATCCCTGCTGGGAACCAGTACTCTCTCCATTATCGCCTCTTCCATCTGAGCCAGTGGGAGGCTTCTCTCTTGCTATTTCGACTGTGTGGCTTGTAGTACGACTGGTCACCCTCTCGGTCAGCTCCTCTTCTTTTTGTGCTTTCTTCCTCTCTTCCTCTTCCCCCGTTTCCTGCTCCTTCCCCTGTGTCGCCATTAGCAGCTCTAACTCTTGTCGTCCGTCTCTGTCTCGGTCTGCTCCCTCAATCGTTCTCAATTTTCTGTATGAATCTTTGTTTTTATATTCCTCTTTCTCTGCCATCATCTCTTCTTCCATTCCATCACGCCCTTCTCCTTCGCTCATTTGCTCTGCTTTTGAATTATTCAGTGCCTCTAGTAAAACTGCTGCTAGTTTTTTGGGATCAACATTTTTAAAAAGCTCTTCTTCATGCTCTGCTTCCTCTTGTCTCTGCATTGGCTGGCTTTCTTCACCACCTATATTCCTATATCCAGACACAGTCAGCCCTGACGTATGTTGGTATGGCTTGTCAAGGGTGCTGAGAGGATTGGAGGTGGACAGATGGAGAAAGGATGCTGCTGTCAGAAGAAGCAGCTGTATTAAAGCACTTGAGGGATTATGGTATCTAGTCATGGCTAGCCAGAACAGGACTTTCTGTGAGCGGTGAAGGAGATCAGAAATCCCTGGAAAAGAGAAGAAACAGAATCAAATCTTCGCTGAGAATGCAAGGATGTATATGTGGGTTTGATGAGTGAATGAGTGAGTACCACATATGACGGCTAAAGCTTGTTTTCTATCTGCAGTTAATTAAGACTTTTAGTGTAACCATGACCGTTTCTTCTCCTGGTGCTTGACTAGCCATTCCACTCCTATCACACATATTGCTCCCATGAAAAGATATTCTAAAAAATGCATACTGTGTTTACACTTTAGTAAACCTTTTGTCCCGTTTCATTTTATGAATTTGAAATTAATCTCATTAAATCTGTTACTTTTATTAGATGTCACCAAAAGTTTTGGGAGCTGACACGTAGGGATTCCATTGTCAATATCACTTATCAATTATCGATTCTTGTTGGAGCTATTTATTCTTTTTTATTACTTTGAAGTTTGCTAGGGGTTGTTGTTGGTTTACATATATTTTTGGGTTATTCACAAGTTTTATTTGTAGGTTGATACTTCTTTTATTGTTTTGTTTTGTTGTTTGTTTTGTTAAGTCAGCCAGGAGGAACTGTAGGGCCATTTCCTATAAATGAAGGCACTGGTAAGTGCACGTGGAACTGATAGGTGAGCAAATTTGACGAATCCAAGGAACTGAACATCTCGAGTCCCATCCCTACTCCTAGAGTTGTTCACAAAAAAGAGTTGTGACATAAGTTATAACACACAGGGACCTGAAGTGAACCTGAGAGTTAAAACAATGAAAGTGTCCATTGTCTGCACTTTTCATGATTTACATTTTGCTCTTTGAAGTTTTTTTAAATTCTCCTGTTCTGGTGAACTCTGACATTGTTCCCTGCTCTCTTCTGGCCCACTTGCTAACCGATCAACCTTCTTCAGAAGTCCAGCTCCACTGACAAGCAGTAAGGATCTTGGAGGACTGCACATCTCCTTTCTCCACCCGCATCCAACCGAATTGTAGAGCTGGGCGGATTGATCCAAATATCGATAGCATCGATACCAACACTAGCATCGATATCAGATCGATACTAGCACGATTGGATCAATGCTTTGCTTTTATCCTTCAAGTTCAGTTTGTAGCCTGCTGAACTGTGTTAATCATTTCTTTGGAAAAAATAAACCTCAAACACGCACTCTGAAAAACGTGCAAACTTTCTGTGCTTTAGATTCAGAATTTTTTAAATTCCAGGTCTCCAAAAACCAAGTTTGAAAACATGAAAAGCTGAAAGGTGTGTTTTGTTGTGTCAGCTAATTATTGTGGAAAGTAACAATCACAGTGGTGATTAAAATGTGTTCAGAATTTGCAAATTGAGAAATCATCTCATAAGTCATGGCAAACTACTCTCCCCCAATTAGCTGCTGAGTAACTTCAGCAATACTGGCCCTGTATTTGCTTTGTATTGGATCGATACCAAAATTTGTATTGTGGCGCAGAAATTCTGTGAATGAGGGAAAGTGTGAACATGAAATTATGTGACGCTATAATTTGAAATACAATAACACATGAATAACACACAAATCCTGCGTGAAGCAGCCCAGACGAGGTCCTCGCGCGCGCACACACACACACACACACACACACACACACACACACACACACACACACACACACACAGGGAAATAGGAAAGTGGAGACAGAACACAAAACAAACAGAAGCTCGCGCAGTGAGGACTGAGGGGTGTGACGCTGTGCTCTAGCTCTAGAGCAATGTTTCCGTGCAACACTAAGAGCACAGCTGGTTTTCACTTTCTGAGTTTTCGCGCGCGCGCGCGTGTACCTGAATCTAGTGTAGGAGTAACTAACCAAGGTAGTTATAGTTAACTAAACCGGGCAGAGGAGGCGTGGGTTTTCACGCACGCAAGACGCGCTACCTGCAGTCCTCGAAGATCCTAACTGCGCGTCGCTGGAAGCGGATGATATGCGACTGCTGAATGTTGATTGGTTGACAAGTGGGCCGGAATAGAGCAGCGAGCGATAGCAGAAGCAGAAAAATTGTGAAAAAACGTAAAACATGATCAAATAAATCATCTCTCAATGTCGCTGCTGCTGACGCGCTGCTCTGCTTGGTGCTGAAATGTTGAACCCAGAGTGCAACAAGTGAAATATCTTGAAATCCGCAACAACCATTCCGGTGCGCATTCACTGCCATGCCGTCTTTGGTTTATCACACCGAGTCGTTTACACCATCAGAAAAAGCTGCTCTTGTTTTCAGAAGCCACCGCCTGCCTGCATCGCCATGTGCCACATGCAGCAGTGAAACGCTGTAAAAATGCGCAGGAACAGCAAACTCAAATGTATTTTCTAAGAATACCCAAAAAACCAGTTGTACAGTGAGATTTTTTTTATCCCTATTAAAGCAAAACAATTCAAGTTTAATGTCATTTTGTTCTCAGCTAATTACCACAAACCTTTTTGTTTGTTAAATCACCCAACAGTTCTATCAGTATATTAGTAAATGGTTGCTAAAATCCTTTTGTTTTTAGTTGCAGTAAACACACTTCAGAGATATAGGAGCAGCATATCCTGCGGTGGAGGCTGGGCTGTGCCAAAAAGGGATTTCACATGTTCTCGTGTGTTGTTGTTGTTTAATGTCTAACACATGTACTTATATTCGTGAGTAGACTGTACTGAACAGGATTTATGAAGAGGTTTTTGAAGTGTCTTCATCACTCTGTGTAATTGTACCCATTTTGTCATCAAGCCCTTCCTTTTTGGTTACTTCAAGTAATTTTATCGAACGGTGATGCTGAGATATGATTGGCCTGTTTTTGATAGGTTTCAGGTCAACAAGTTATTTTTAACCGTTTAAATGTAATCATTGTTTGGCACAACGAGATGACTCTGTTGTTTGCACTGTTGCAGCAGGTCACAGTTCCCAGAAAAGCAAATAAGAATAAACATGAGCATACAGCCACCTCAGACTCTGTTCGACAGTAACCTCCCCGCAACTCGCACTTCACATGTAAACAACATTATCTCAGACTAACATGGACGTCAGTGTTATGCAGAGACAAAAGGTTGCCGTTGTCTCTGTGGTTTTTAATGCGAATGTCCCCGCGGTTACAGCTGCAGCCTACTTATTTTACAGTGCAGTTCTTTCAGTCTAGGATATGATTGCTGGAAATGACGATGATTGAGATGATGTGGCTGAAGATGAGAAGTAGGAGGGGTTGTAGGAGCAGACAGTACGGTTGATTATAAACAATGAATTTTGACCACATCAAATAACAATACTTTAAGCTGCCATCAGTGCACAAATTCACTTCAACGTGACGCCTGACTGCGTGTCCGCAAAATATTGACTGGGGCCTAATTGATTTTTATTCCTTAAAATCAATTAAATGTGCCACAGTTTGGGACGAACATAAATACTTCCGATTCATCTACTAAACCTCCTCCAACCCATCACACAGCAGGCATTACCACCTTTTTCTGCATTTTCTATATATTTTGCACATTTCCTGCGCCTCGCTTTGCTTTGACTACAAAGCTGTAGCGTGACATCATAATTTTGTTGCAATATTTTACACATTTATGAGTATTTCTAAGAACGCTTATATTAATGAGCAACAGTACTTCTTTCGGAGAGCACAAGGTTAAATGCTTTAGTGCAAAATAAGTTGCCGCTTACTTGCAGTTCAGTGTGTGCGGCGGGGGAATTCCTGCTTTCCCTCCTCGTCACGTCACACAGCTGCTGAAGTCCTGCAGTCATCCACTCCGTGCTCGTCGTGACGCGTGCCGTGTTGTAACGTGCTGTTAATTCTTGTTACTGTTATTGTTGTATGTCGCAGGGTTTCGGACTCTTCGTGTGCTCCTATCACAGGAGTCAGAACCTAATTCCTCTATTTTCAGGACTACGGACAGAGGCTGCGGCTGTCTTCTACCCCCTCCTTCCGCACACACGTGATCCTTGCGTCAAGGTCCCCATTGACGTCAATAGACTGGATTTCATTCATAAGATTTTTCTGCACCCCACCGACCTTATCTTATCCCTCCTCCCCTATTTTATCAGACCAATTAGCTGCAGTGCTGCTGTTGAATAAACAGAATATTCGTAATTCATGGTGCAACCTCAGAGAGCTGGTCCAAGCTTTCACGGGCAAACCTGAGTGCAAGAGGGAACCTTTGGGGTTTTCTTTAGACATAGACACGCTTATTTCTGCGGCTGTCTCACGTTTGTGTGCCATCAGAGCTTAAGGATGCTGTGCACTGGTGTGTGACAATAGAGGCAAAAATAGCTCTCCTAATAAGCTGTGAAAGGGCTCAGTTTTAGTAAATAAATACATTTATTTTTCATGGATCATCATCTCCATCCTTCTGTTCACTGGTACAATTCTGCATTCATCAGCGTCTCCAGTTTTGTGTTAAAATGTCTGGTTAAAAGTCCACGGCCCTCTCTTAGATATCTCCGCATTGCTACAGCTGCATCATCTGAACCTTTCATTCAGTGGTGCTGGTTTCAGTTATTGTGCAAACGTGCAGTTTTTAAGTTCGGGGAAACCTGCAGTCAGCTGAGACATCATCTGTTCCTCCCACTGAAAACATCCAGATGAACAGAATCAACTTTTGGGGAACTTTTCTACTCTTCATTATTTTCATAGTTGCCTCAACTTCCTCTTAATTAATCTTCTGCACTTCCTGCTTCCAAGATCACGCTCTCTGTCTAGCCAATTCATAGAAGTCCAATTCTCCTTCCATACTGTCCAATCTCACGTGCAACACACTTTTTCTTTTCCACCTTTCTTTTTGCAATGCACGTGCCCTACCAGTGTTCCTGGCTACTTCATCTCATAGACTGTCCAACTTTTTTATTACCACTTATTCTTCACTGACATATTTTCCTGTAGTTCCTAATTCTGCCATCAAGCCTCTTTGTCTTCTTTTCTTTATTCTCAGTTTTCTTCACCTCTTCAGCTGTCCTTTCCAAGTCTTCACTACCACCCAGAGCCTTTAATGTTTGTCTTAAACCACCATGTCAGTTAAAATGCAAAAAAGAAACCGTAATGCAACTCTATGAATATGATGCTGTGACAAAGAAATGGTAAATCTGTTAAAAATGTTAATTGACCCACAGGGGTCATCTTCTTCTGGATACAGTGGCTCATCTGAAAAAGAAAGCCTAAAATCAGAAGTACTTTGCTCACTGGTACAACTCTCAAACATTTACCTTAAAGCAGTAATTCTGGTATAGCTGAAATTACATCTACCTAATTTATAAAAGCTTCATTTAGCCTGGAAAAATAGTTTGCTGCTCTATAAGAAAAAGCCCTCTACTGGAGTTTTCTGTTTTCTTTATACTCTATGTATAGTTTCTTCACCTTCAAGTATTTGCTCAAAGAGGCTCGTCTCGTTTTCTCTGTATTATTGTAAAGTTTTTTGCTTACAATATAAACAGTATAAATCAGCTTGAAATATAAATGCCAAAGAATTAATGGATTTTAGTTGATGTGCCAACTAAAAAATATCCAATCCAATGTTTGTTCAAAACGTATCATCACTCAGTGATCACTACGACTACATTTTCTCTAAATAATACAAGATAAAATTCATCAGTTCTCAAAGTTTAGCTCTGTCAGTTAACCTTTATTAACACCAGGTGAAGAGTTCCTGTTATGAATCTGGATGACAAGTATAGTTTTTGAAAGTGCGTAGACTACACTTCATTCTAGTCTTCTAGTTTTTTGTTAGCAGTTTAATCTCACTGTGGTTGGGCATGCTTGTCTTTACAGGTATCTCTGCAATATATCAATGCAGGAAACCCGCAGTGAGCTGAGACTGAAGATGTCACTTGGATGAAGGACGAAACATTTCTCCATCTGAAAACGCTACGTCCAGATGAACAGAATCAACTTTTAGTGTATCCGCACCAACAATCACACCCAAGGCCAATTTGGAATCACCAATTAACCCAGTGGTTCTCCATCTGTGGGGTGTATAGCTACTGGACGTGCACAACTAGTGAAATGTGAAAATAAGAATGTTTTTTTAGGTAAACAACAGTTGCCATTGTTCTGAACTTTACTAAACTTGAAACCTTTTCTTTTACTTGCCAGTCAGGGTAATTATTATAATTCTTAATTATTGGGATTCTTATCTAAGTTAAACTGCGCCATTAAAGTTTTAAGTTGCATCTCTATATATATCATATAGCTCCACTTGCCACACAGATGCATCTGTATGTGCAAGGGTGTGGATTTCTGTGCCACTTTGAAACTGGTGTGTGGAGTGACTACGCTGACCTGTCGTCAAATGACAGAAGACTACAGGATATTTCTGACTGCTGGATCATTCAACCTAGAGCCTAATATAACTGTACATTTGGAGAGACATGAAAAACATTTCCCCCTTACCCCCACCAACCCACCCACTGAGTGCTTTTGACTTTTACACAGGAAAGAAGAAAAAACAAAAACTGGACCATATAGTAGAACTACAGATCTATGGTAAATAAATAAAGAGCAAGATCCATCACTTATTCTTTTACAAAAAAGGTAAATAAACTCCTAATGTGGGCCTTTTGGGGGTTTTTTTCTTTATATATTTTGGCCACACATTGTGGAATATAGAGAATTTTGCCCAATTTTACACTGGACTGAATCAAAAATACACACATTGCATGCTGTGTGTTAACAGTGCTAACTGACTCACACTTGTTGTGATTTACTTCTTGAATATAAATACCTTTCAACAGAATTATGAAGGAAGATGGATTGAGTATATTGTATAAAAGACTTTAAATGCAGAATGTTTGTCCAACTCTTAGACACCCCTTTTCAGAAATGTTTATTAATCCCACCAACTCAGACTAATTTGTGTGATTACAAGCAGATGCATTCAAATTCAAAGGGAAAAATAAACAAAGTTAGAAACATTGTTCCAGCTCATAAAATATTCCCGCTGAGACAGTATAATGAGCTAAGATTTATTTTAAACAAGCAAACAAACCAGAGAATCTTAAGCCCGACCATTTTAACATAATTTCCCTGGAAAATAAATCCAAGGTGATGAGGTGATGATACACGTCCTAATAATCCCATAAAAAAAACATAGACACTGCAGCACCTTAGGGGGCGTGCTCCATTTTGACCCCGAGACTTCCAGGCCATACTCAGCACAGATGTTTCTGTATCCTTTGCCGGCCACTTGGTTATGGCGTTCCATGTATGTCCTGTTTGCTAGCATCTAGCACCCTGTTGTTATATGTGCTCAGGGGCATCTTTGCACAGCCCGCCCTTGGGGTCTTGCCTTGTGTGATAGACCGTAAAGTCTAGTGCTCAGAGTGTGTTCCTGCACTGCCATGATTAGTGCCTTTCTCTCAGTTCACCTTTGTCCAGCCACTGGTAGGATTTCTGGACATCAGCCACTTCTTCTGCCGGCCGTATATACCATGCAGGGTCCTGTAGATCCATGATGCTCCTCTTCTCAAATTTCTGCTGCCTGAGATATTAACTAACCACACTCTCAGTTGTGGCCATCTTCCTGAAGTACTTGTGGATGTTCATTGTCTCATCCTGGGTGGCAGTTCTGACACTCACTAGCCTTGGCCACCTTCCTCCTTCTTAGTGTACAGTCTTAGGGTGCTGCATGCATGTCAGTGGCTTCTATCTCCTCTTTTGGCCAGCTTATTTCATGGTTCGTTCCTATTTGTCTATGGGACTACCCCTTCCCCCTTTTCTTTTAACGATCCAACTACACTTCTCAAGTCCAAATGGGCTGGAAGTAGCCTGCATATGATTATATCCGGCCCTAGATAATTTCACGTCAGTTATTGATGGTCCTCAGTAGAAACAGAATCTTCGGCCCTGCTGAGAAGCCATGCAGGCAGGGATGGGACTTTATTTCGATGGGCACACCATGCAGGCAATCTGGGATCATATCATTATGTTAAAATAGGAAGGGTGCAGACGTTACAAAGACAACAAGTGTAGTGGTACAGGCTTAGTACACAGAGACAAGGGTGCCGGATTTAAACGCTAACGTGTTGGGAAAAATGAGTGAAAAAGTAAACTAAGCAGCACTTGGCTGCATTTCAATAATACTGAAGACTGCTGAGTGCAGAATCTATCAAACTAGGAGCTGGCTAAAGTGACACCAGATTTTATTTTCAGCCATTTGCCATTATGCAGGACAAAAGGTTTCAAACTTGTCCAGGCCTTAAAGCTGATGTGTGCTCTCCCATCTAGTAATAAATGCATAAAAAATAAGGCTTTTCTGAAAACAATGAATAGAAAAGTCTCACAGGCCAGAATACATGCTTCAAGCCATTTATAATTCTTACCCTGTTTGATCTGTTGCTCACCACAAACAAGCACAAGAAAAATTTGTTACCCTAAACTTTAGTTGCATAAGTTTTACAGCTTTCCCCACTGATAAAAACGCTTCATACTACACAAAATATTAAGCAAAAACAACTGAATGAAAAAACAACTAAACATATATCAAAAAAAAATGGAGTCTGAGCAATGAGCTACCAGAACTTTACACATTTATTTCTTACACTGAAAACCAAAGAGTCATGCTGACAGATTTGTCACAGCAGCTTTTTCTTTACCATCTAGAAACAGTTCAGAATCAGCATACTTTATTAATCCCTAAGGAAATTATGTAAATATGTAACTTCTTTACAGTGACATTGAGTTTCACTAGTCCGGCCCCTTAAGATCAACATTTGCTGTAGATCCTGGTGATGTGGATCAGTGAAGCAGTGTCTCCTTCACTCCTGGCATACAGCTTGATATCATCCGTGTAGAGGAGGTGGCTAATAATTGCTTAAGTCCTTGGCCAGCCTGTTTGATGATCTGGCTGACGGGGGTTCATGCCTATGCAGAACAGTAGTGTGGGGCAGAACATCTCCTTGGTAAATCC